AGTCAATTATCATATGGTTTCACTTATTTGTGGAGCATAACAAATAGCATGGAGGACAAGGGGAGTTAGGAGAAGGGAGTTGGGGGAAATTGGAAGGGGAGGTGAACCATGAGAGACTATGGACTCTGAAAAACAATCTGAGGGGTTTGAAGCGGCGGGGGGTGGGGGGTTGGGGGAACCAGGTGGTGGATATTAGAGAGGGCACGGATTGCATGGAGCACTGGGTGTGGTGCAAAAACAAGGAATACTGTTATGCTGAAAAAAAAAATTAAAAAAAATTAAAAAATTAAAAAAAAAGAGATTCTTCAAATATAAGATCACTATTATAAAAGAAAAAAAAAATCCCCCAAGAAACAAGAGTGTAGGGGGCTGACCAAATATTTAAAGAAGAGTTAATACTTACCCTTCTGAAACTGTTCCAAAATAATAGAAATGGAAGGAAAACCTCCAAACTCATTCTATGAGGCCAGCATTACCTTGATTCCAAAACCAAAGATCCCACTAAAAAGGAGAATTACAGACCAATATCCCTGATGAACATGGATACAAGAATTCTCAACAAGATATTAGCATACTGGATTCAACAGTACAATGAAAGAATTATTCCCCACAATCAAGTGAGATTTATTCCTGGGCTTCAGGGATAGTTCAATATCTGCAAATCAATCAATATGAAAGACCACATGAATATTAGAAAGGATCTGAAGGAAAAAGTGAAACAAGATGGGATCGGGAGGGAGACAAACCATAAGAGACTCTTAACCTCACAAAACAAACTGAGGGTTGCTGGGGGGAGGGGGGAAGGAGAGGGTGGTTGGGTTATGGACACTGGGGAAGGTATGTGCTGTGGTGAGTGCTGTGAAGTGTGTAAACCTGGCAATTCACAGACCTGTACCCCTGGGGCTAATAAGACATTATATGTTAATAAAAAATAAAAAATTTAAAATTAAAAAATCAAAAAAATATTAGGATCCTTTCAATAAGTACAGAAAACACTTTTGACAAAATACAGCATCCTTTCTTGATAAAAACCCTCAAGAAAGTGGGGATAGAAGAATATACCATGACATCAGAAAGGCCATATATGAAAGACCCACAGCTAATATCATCATCAATGGGGAAAAACCAGAAAAACTGGGAGCTTTTCCTCTAAGATCAGGAACACAACAGGGATGTCCACTCTCACCACTATTGTTCAACATAGTACTGGAAGTCCTAGCCTCAACAATCAGATAACAAAAAGAAATAAAAGGGACCCAAATTGGCCAGGAAGAGGTCAAGCTTTCATTATTCATAGATGACTATGATTTTCTCTGTAGAAAACCCAAAAGACTCCACCAAAAAATTGCTAGAACTGACACACAAATTCAGCCAAGTTGCAGGATATAAAATCAACATACAGAAATCTGTTGCATTTCTATACCTAAATAGTGAAGCAGTAGAAAGAGAAATCAAGTTATCAATCCCATTTACAATTGCACAAAAAACCAGAAGATTCCTAGGAATAAATCTAATCAAAGAGGTAAAACATCTGCACTGAAAACTATAGAACACCTATGAAAGAAACTGAAGACACAAAGAAATGGAAAAACATTCCAGGCTCAGGGATTAGAAGAACAAATATTGTTATAATGTCTGTATTACCCAAAGCAATCTTCACATGGAATGCAATCCTGATCAAAATACCAAAATGCCACCAGTGTTTTTCACAGAACTAGAATAAACAATCCTTAAATTTGTATGAAACCAAAAAAGACCCTGAGTAGGCAAAGGAATGTTGAAAAAGAAAAGAAAAGCAGGAGGCATTACAATCCCAGGCTTCAAGCTCTTTACAAAGCTGTAATCATCAAGACAGCATGGCACTGGCACAAGAACAGACACATAGATCAATGGAACATAACAGAGACTCCAGAAATGGACCCTTAACTCTATGGTCAAGTGATCCTTAACAAAGCAGGAAAGAATATCCAATGGAAAAAAAAAAGTTTCTTAAACAAACAGTGTTAGGAAAATTGGACAGCCATGTGCAGAAGAATGGAACTGGACCATTTCCTTATGTCACACACGAAAATAGACTCAAAATGGATGAAAGACCCAAATGTGAGACAGGGATCCTTCCAAATCCTCGAGGAGAACACAGGCAGCAAACTGACCTTGGCTGCAGCAACTTCGTATTACACATGTCTCTGGAGGCAAGGGAAACAAAAGCAAAAATGAAGTACTGGGACTTCATCAAGATAATAAGCTTCTGCACAGTGAAGGAAAAAAATCAACAGAACTAAAAGGGAGCCTCTGGAATGGGAGAAGACATTTACAAATGACATATCAGATAAAGGGCTAGTATCCAAATCTATAAAGAGCTCATGAAAATGAACAACCAAAAAATAAATAATCCAGCTAAGAAGAGGACAGAAGACATGAAAAGATATTTTTCCAAAGAAGACATATAAGTGGCTAAAAGACACATGAAAAAATACTCAGCATCACTCATCACTAGGGAAATACAAGTCCAAAACCACAATGAGATACTATTGGTCAGAATGGCTAAAATTAACAACTCAGGAAACAACAGACATTGGCAAAGATGTAGAGAAAGGAGAACACTTTTGAGCTGTTGGTGGGAGTGCAAACTGGTGCAACAACTCTAGAAAACAGTGTGGAGGTTCCTCAGAAATTTAAAAATAGTACTATCCCATGATCCAGCAATTGCTCTACTAAGTAGGTACCCGAAGGGTACAAAAATACTGATTTGAAGGGAGCATATGCACCCCAATGTTTACAGCAGCACTATCAACAACAGCCTAATTATAAAGAGCCCAAATGTCCATCTACTGATGAATGGATAAAGAATTGGTGTGTTTCTGTGTGTGTGAGTGTATACATATATACATACACTGGAATATTACTCAACCACCAAAAAGAACAAAATCTTGCCATTTGCAATGACGTGGATAGAGCCAGAGTGTATTATGCTAAGAGAAATAAATCAAAGAAAGACAAATATCATATGATTTCACTCACATATGGAATTTAAGAAACAAAATAAATGAATATGGGGGAAGGGAAGGAAAAATAAAATAAAAACAAAGAGGGAGACAAATCATAAGGGACTTAACTGTAGAGAACAAATAGAGAGTTGCTGGAGGGGAGGGGAGGGAGGGATGCACTAAATGGCTGATGGGCATTAATAAGGCCACTTGTGGTATAAGTGATAAATCACTAAATTCTACTCCTGAAACCAATACTACACTATACGTTAACTAACTTGAACTTAAATAAAAAAAAAAATAATAAAATAAAATAAAACCAAGTATCAAGTATATAGTCTGGGTCACCATATGATATAAAAACAGCCTTCCACCATGGGGGGGAGGTGTAGTAGGGACAGTATAAAATCTGGATTTACATGCTTTACTCACCTTTGCCCAGATAGCAGCTGACAGTCCAAGAACAGGACTGATGGCCAAGATCACAAGGGTTAGCTTCCAACCACGTGTAAATCCCACTATAAAACCGATGAAAAATGTTGCTATTGACTGAAAGAACATTCCAATTTTGTCACCAATTCCTTCGTTGATTTTGGAGACATCACTAAAAGAACAGACAGTGTTAGAAGTAAACACGAGAATTGCGAATTACAACTGAATCCATTTCGCTGTTATGTTCTGAGCGTGGGGCAATTGGTTTCCATCCAGGATTCTGCTCAGAAACTTCCTCAGAAAACATCATGTTGTTGCTCTCCTGCACTGCTCTCAGATGACTTTCTGAGTCTGGCAGGTCTCCCTCATTCATTGCTAGTCATGCAAATGCCCTCATGCCCTGCCAGGGTGGTAGGGACCAAAGGATGTATGAGGCATGGTTGCTGCCCAGAAGGAATTCAGTCTCATAATGACTTCTGAGTTATGCACTGATATCTCTGAACAGATCTGACAACCTCTCTTTTCATTTAAGGAGGATAAGAACCATGTCTGAGTTAAATGTAAGAGCGGGTACTTACTCCGTGAGCCGGGTGTTAAGCTCCCCCACGTCATGGACATCAAACCAGCCAATCTCCTGTCGCATGATAGCATGAAAAAACTGTTTCCTAATCGTGAGTATCTGTCTTCCAGCAGCCAGGCACCAGAAGGACACCTGGATGTAAGCAGCCACCAGCACTCCAGCCCCGATCCCACTGTAATAATAGGCATACCTGCAAAGCAATGAGAACTCTCCACAGACAGTTTTCCAATCGCCACGGCTGTCCCCACAGACCACTCGTACATATGTTTTCATTCACCTAGCTGCCTTACCATCCTTAAATTAGAAGGGGTAGTGACAGGCAGAATTGGTGGGTGGCCTCCAACTGCATCTACACCAGTAGAGTGGGGTTGTGGCTTCTGCTTTGGCTCAAACCCCAGCCCTTCACTTCACTGCTCTATCATCCTGGGCAAGTGGCTTGACCTTCCTAAAGCTCAGTCTTTTAATTTCTTATCTGCAGTGAAATGCAGATAAGAGTAGGAAGGCAGCAGTGAGTGCCATGCACTTCGGCCAGTGCTGGGCACCCAGTAAGCTTCAGAGAATATGCCAGTTACTAGGAAAGGCTCATGTGATGCCTTGAAGCATCAGAGCATGGAGTAAGACCTACCGCTGTATTCCTGTCTACTCAGATTGCCTCGGGATGGGTTGATGAGCTCTTTGAGGTGTTTCTGCACATTGGAGAATAGAAAGAAGTGACAGAACCTGTCAGAAAGTGGAGCCCAGAGATGGAAATGGTCCCCTGGCCTTCTGGCAGAACACAGAAGTCAAATAAAAAGTATTTTTATATCATCTGCCCAACTAGCCTTTGTGGGTTACCCTAAAATGCTTAATGAATCAAGTAGCATGCTTCGAACAATAAAAAATTTGACCATCTTCTAAACTAGACCCTTGATCATCTAGAAATGGTGAACTTATGTTTCTTTGCTCAGAGTCTTTATTTAAAAAAAAAAAAAAAAAAAGTCTTGCACCTTACTAAGCAAGTTCATTTTTAGGTTAAAGACAAATATTCTGAAATGAAATATGGGATTCCAATATTCCTATCTTTACAAGTTCATTACTTGCCACCCTCCAATAAAAAGGCTGCTATGAGCCACACGGAAGTTGTAAAAATGATTATGTAACAACATAATCACGGAGATTACTATTCATAACAGGGTGTTCAACCAGCAGGCATCTTGGTAAACACATCTCCCCCAGGTTATCCCTTGTGATTACAAAGTATTTATCTGGAATGAGGTAATGAGAATACTAAATTATAGTTAATAGACAACTCAATAATTAATTATTATCCAAGTGTTAAGCAACATAGAAAGAAATGGCTCAAAAAAAACCCCACTTAGCAAGCAGAATGCTTAAGAAGGAGTTAATGTATCCTAAACCATCAATCCACATTAATTCAAAGAAAACATATTTATATTTAAGTATTTGTAAGATTATCACAAGACACTTCCATCTCAATATAAAAAAATGCCTCTCCATAGGAATATTTCTTCTCGTCTTTCAAAATATGATCAAGAATCTCTATTTTCTTCAAATCTAACAGATCATTTACAGGATAATGTGTAATCATTACCTTCTGATTAACCAACTAGTACCTTTGTACATTTCTTATAAGCTGTTTTGGGGAACAAACTTCGAGATATATAAATCATTAACAAAAGCTTCCCAGGGTGAATGAAGGTCAGAGGGACTATATTTATTCTGGGATGTTTTATTTCATTGTTTAGAATCTGATGCTGTGTTAAAGAAAAAATTATGTTGACTGATCTCATCATATCTTGACTAAAAAAACCCAGGAAGCAAGCTAATAATTACAAAGTCGTCGTAAACATGTGATTCTTAATTTAACTACATTTTTAAAAAGCTACTTTGAACTCCTTTAATTTCCCTGTTATGATATTCTATACTTACAATGCATATATATATCTAATTTAGGCTCAACCTTGACTACAGCTCACACCTCAAATTCATTTCTTAAAAAGTAAAAAAATTTACATTGTATCCTCCTAGAAAACTAACAATGGTATTATTCTTAAAAGTCTGACTCTTTATTATAATAAGGTAAAATTTTATGCTACAAAAATACAATGCTACAATTGGATACAGAAAAGCTTAACAATAGTAAGGAAAATGTCTAATTACGTGGTCATTTCCGCCTCCAGAATGTTGAAGAAAGATGCTTCATTTGGATTACCTAGATCACCACAAAACAAACATATACCATTATGTCTCTTTGTTCTCCATTAAAAATAAGTATGTAAAAATGACTCAAACTTGTGTCACTTAATAATTTACACAAAAATAGGTCAAACTGATATTCTAACTATGTGTAAGCCTTATGGCATCCATTCAAATTCTTCACTGCTGGACACGTGCAACCACACACAGACTTAATTCAGTGAAGTTTATTTGCAAGAAGAAAACCACATTTATTAAGAAGCAGTGTGTCAGCTGGAATACTGGCATCCATGAATTAAAATATTTTATGAAATACTACTCTGAGATGACACAGAGAAACTCTTTTCTAAGACCTCTATCCTGATAATTAAATACCACTGCATACTCGACATTAAAGCGCTTAGCATTTAAATCTAACACTGCATTTTTCCAGCTTTCATTTTTATTTAAAAAATATAAAACACAAAAGTTTATGTAATAAGCACCACCAAGCTCATCATGCAAGATTAGCAGATGTCATCATTTTTAGACAAGGTACATTAAAACCTCAACACTGCCCACCCAACACACACACACACACACACACACACACACACACACACACTTCTGTTCAATATTTTGGTGTGTATTTTTTCAGTTTCTTTTCTATATGTATGTCTACTCACACATAAATACATACACATGCTTCTTTTAAAAGAAAAATCACAGCCCACAATCAGTGGCCAATTTTCTGTCAATCTGTGGGTATGAACGTGTATCTCCATATTTTCAAAGTTGTGTCTATTTCAGTTCTTTCCAACCTTTCACTGTTGCAGGCAATGCTGTATTACACATACCCACATTGGTATATTATAGAGGAATGTATGGTATATATTTTTGTAGGATAAATTATGACAATCAAGGTTGCTGGACCAATGGGGGTGCACACTTTAAATCCTATAGTCATTTCAAAAGTTAGGTCATGAGAGGGCCTCATTCAGAGGAGTCTGATTTTGACAGGCATGGAAAGAGGAGTAAAAGATTTTCTGGCAAAAGGAGCAATGAGGACAGAAGTCCACATTGACGTTTGAAAAGGGAGGAAGCCAGTTTGGCTGGGGTATGTTGTGGGGATGGGAGAAGGTGGGTATGTGGCTGGAAAGATCATCTGGGCCCCACAGGTAACGTGTATCAAACTAGTAGTCACTCAGCAGTTTGAGCAGAAGAGGACATGATTAGAGATGGGTCTGGGATGACTTACCTGCTAGAAATGCATGATTACCTGGACTAGAAAAAGATTGAACAATGTAAGCTATTACAGTGACATAAGCACAGAGGGTCTAAATGAGAACAGAAAAGGAGAGTACCCATAAGATTCAGAGAAAGAGAAGTTACAGGTTCTAGCAACTGCTGTGCAAACGATCAAGACCTCAAGCCTAAGCATCTGGAGAGCAGTGGTATCACTGTGGGAAATAAGAAGTCAGGGGGAAAAAAAAATAGCAGATCTGGTCAGATATGAGAAGATTACTGGTTCAGTTCTGAAGATTTTTATTCTGTGGTATCTAGAACATTCAACTGAAGATGTCTAATAACTATTTAGACTCTAGAGTTCCTGTTCTGGAGAGAGCTCTGGTCTGAATGATTCAGGAGTCATGTGCTAGAGGCCATAGATAAATTCAGGAAAGAAAAAAGCTATCTCTTCTTACCGGCGAGGACAGGGTTGGGGGGTAAGGAGAAGAGGGTGAGCAAGCACAGAACCCCGGGGAATTTACATTTAGGGGTAATACAGAAAGTAAGTAATAGAAAGATGCGGAGACGACGGCTCAAAGCACATAGCCCAGAACACTTTTTGTCCGTATTGCCTTCGGTAAGGCAAGAATACGTGTGTCCGGATGGATTTTTTAAATCAGCTATGAGATTGCTTCTGCTCTGTATTTTCAAGGACAAAATATTAAATAGGTAGCTGGGTGAGGATTTTTCTCTACATGAGAAAAAGATCTCCACATAAGATCTTCTAAAACAGGAGTCTAAGAAGATCTCTCATTAGGGATTTTCAATCTTTTCCATCTAGCCAGGAAATGCTTCTAACTGGTATTGTTGCTAGCGTGTATTAATACCAAAGCAAGACAAACTCAAATCTAGCTCTAAATCTGTCTATTCACTGCTGCTATCAGTTTTCTCAATTCTAGAGGTAAGGAACAAAGAGAATTTAAACAAATGGTGGCTTCTAGGTCCATAGTCACTTTAGACTGCTCGAAAAGCAAGAAATTATGTGAAAGGTCAAAATTCACTCCTTCATGTTTTTGTACAACACATACATACACTCACACATGTGTATGTATTATATCATAAAATAAATATATGTATGTACATATGTATCTCTCATATACGAATATATGTATATGTGTATGTATATACATACAGAAATGTAGTCATCAGACTCTAACTTCAGCACCAAGTGCCTTCTACTTGTGCTTCAGTTGTATAAAACTGTGCCAGTCAGAATAACAATGAGGCATTCAAATCATCTGACAGAGATAATTGCTACTGACTAATGAAATAACAATGCTACATTCTCTGGACTCCCTCCAACCAACTTTCTTTTCCTCCAATCAAATCTTATTAATTAAAAGTGCTCTGGTCCAGAGATTTTCCCTGCCTCTATGAGCTTCTCACAAAATGCTCATCCTTAGTTAGGCATGCCTTCACAAAGTCAAAACTTTAAAAAGATTTATTTTGGAGAGAGCAAATGAGCATGTGCGTAAGTGGAGGGATGGGCAGAGGGAGAGAATCTTCAAGTGGACACCACGCTGAGTGCAGAGCCTGACATGAGGCTGGATCCCACAACCCTGAGATCATGACCCAAGCCAAAACCAAGAGCCGGATGCTCAAGTGACTGAGCCACCCACGTGCCTCACAAAATCGAAACTTTCAAGCTGAAATGACCTGAGAGATCATACGGTCCAGTTACTATTTACTTGTATGGATCTCAAGGGTTACGCCCAATCCAATAGTTATAAGGAAGAATGCTTAAATAGTATCCAAAAATTAATACTGTTTTTCAGTAGGAAAAGCCAGAAACTCTCTGTATAACATGTGTGTGTTTATGTGTGTGTGTGTGTGTGTACACACCTAACAATATCAACCAAATAATGAGTACAGGAAAGCCAAAGATTTAAGTGCACCTTTTGTTTTAATAAAATACTTGCTCAGACTCTTGATCACTTTCTCCTCCTCTGGCTTCCAGAATCTCCTTCTCCTGGTTCCTCCATGACTGTGATGCCTTTTAGTGTCATTCACTGATTTCTCATGTTCTCCCTCTCCCTACAAGCTGGTGTTTCCCAGACTTCCATGCACACTCCCAGGGTGACTTCAACCACTTCCACAGCTGTAGGGATTCCCATATCCGGACTGGAGCTATTCAAATCCTCTCCTTCCTCAGGGTCAGTGTTCTGGTTCAGGGCCCCGTCATCCCATTCCTCTCCTCTAATAAGAGATCCTAACTTGTTTTTCTACTCAATCAGGTCTTCACATTGTCATCAGATTTTATTTTTGCAAACAAAAATATAACCATGCTGGGGCGCCTGGGTGACTCAGTCAGTTAAGTGTCTGTCTCTTGATTTGGGCTCAGGTCATGATCTCAGGGTTGTGGGGTTGAGCACTGCATTAGGCTCCACAATGGGTGTGGAGTCTACTTGAGATGCTCTCCTTCCCTCTCCCTCTGTCCCTACCTCCCCCATGCTCTCACTCTGTCAAATACACACACACACACACACACACACACACACACTGTGTGTGTGTGTGTGTGTATGTGTGTGTGTGTGTATGTGTTTATTGAATCAAGGATAAAGTCCAAGATCTGTAACATGTCATATTAGCACCTTTTCAACCTTGTCACAATATATCTGACAGGATAACATTTTTGAAAGGTCAATGAATGATTTTCCAAACATTTTCTTTACCCCCACACCTTTCTCATTTCAGCACTAGGGCACTGTGTAGTCACTGTCTGGAGGGAGGTTTGTTGCAGCATTAAATAATAATAATAATAATGTCTGAGTTTTTTCTTGGTTTCTCTGTTCCTGAAGCATTTGTCCTTGGGGACTGGAGAGTACACAGACCATGACAAAGTATTTTGATTAAATGTCATTAGGCTGAGCTCCACCCTTTTAGACTGAAGAATATTTTCCACACCCTGAGATTTAGCCGAGAAGTGATGACAACTTTCTTCCTCCAAGCTTCTATTCATTCTCCTTTCTCTACCAGTAATGCCTTTTACCACATTTTTTCCCCTTCTGATAACGATTCCTTCTCCATGAATATGTTCAAATAAGACCGCGTCTCCAATGGCTTACTCCTAGTAGAGTGACTCACCTTGTCAGAGAACTCCAGAGTAACTGACACCTGACTCAATTTACTAAGTCAATGCTAGAACTATGGGGATCGGTATCTATCTCTGCCTCCCATGCCCACTGCATAAATGAACTCCCATAGTTTTCTTTGTCTCCTCAATACCCTGCTCTACCTGCTGTAACCTAGCTTGTCCCAAAGGTTTACAAGTGGTTTCACAAAGCCACCACACATGCAGACAACTGCGCAAATATTCCATCCAATCATTCTATTTTGTATATAAGTGCCTCATATAAGATTAAAAAGATAGACTAAACCAGTACCTTACTACCCAAGCAAGACTTCAAAGAAACCACAACTGAGTAGTGCCCACTACCATGACCAAAGACTCTATGCTATTTAAGGATCACACTACATTGCATTTTTATCTGACACAAATATCTCAGTATGTTTCATAATTTTACCTACTGAACACTTAAGAACAGTATGAATAAAAGTATGAGACATAAATATGTTTTGCAATTTTCCTAAGGGAAAAGGAGAGTGTATTATAAGAGATTTTCAGAACCCATCTGCCACAGAGCTTTCATCTTAGGCACTATTTCAGACACCAGGGAGACAACCTAGCATGAGAAATCCATTTTGTTCTAATCTTATTGGATTTCTGCACAAACAGGAAATCCTTTTACT